TGTGTGTGTCCACCCCTGGACAAAGGGTCTTCCACCACCACTTTTTCTACCCTACATAGGCAGGGGCGTCAGGCTCGATACACCTACCTGACGCAACGAAGCTCTGGTGTATCGAGGGATGGGTGGACTGATCATCCACCTGTACCTGCAGAGTTTTCCACACGCTGTCACCCTACTCTTCCACGTTTTGATTCATGGTTCTTCATGCTTCCACCCCTAAACCTCGGTTTTGCAGCTGAGTTTGCGCGTTAGCTGATTTGCGCCGCGCCGCCCGAGCGACCGATCGTCTCTGCAGACTTGAGCAACAGTGTTTTCAAACACCTACAAGTTCTTGGACCTTTCACCTTGCGTTTCTTCGCCATCCTTCCCATCGGAGAAATTGAGCTAACTGAATACAAAATTGTCGAAGTGTATGCGCACCTAAGGGTCAGACCAGTGGCATCCTGCATGTAGTATTGGATGGCCCAAATTCGGTCGCGCGTGTCTTGGCATGTTGGCACTTGAACCACATGGCATTTTCATGCATTTTCGTTCCATTTTTGGTAAGTAGATCAACCCGCTTGCATGGAGACGTGCTCTCTTTGAGAGCCGCCTCCGCGATCGCTACCTTTTGTGGATCTCGGCTCAAGGGCGACCCGCTGACATGAACACTTGGGACGGAAGATCTGGAGACAAGGGACTACTCTGACCGGCTCGGCTTGCTCCAAAACTACTCCAATGCCAAGAGAGGTTCAGTGACCTTATAAGACCCTAGACCCTACTAGGGTACCTATGGGCTGGTCTATAGGGTTCTTCAACTGTATTGGTGGGAGATCGATGTCTTGGTGGGCTTTCATTGCTAAGTGTGTCTTGCTGGTAGAGCCCTCCTCCAGACCACCTTGCTTAGTCAACAGGATTGTTTCAGTCCATGTTTGCTTTGAGCCAGGAGGTGAGGCAACCTCCTTTTTGAGGTTGTGTTGGGGACAACTTAAGGGCATGATGTCGCCCGCCTGTCTTCTCAAAGCGAAACTGGACCAACAATTTTGAAGCAACCTTCCCAAGAAGCTTTCAGTAGTTTAGCTCCGACACTTTGAGATCCTTTGAGTAGCCTGAGGTTTATTCGGGTTCCCTTGACCGTTCATTTTTCAGCACCCCAGCACCGTTGGATTCAAGGTGATTCTGAGGTCCAAACGAACCAGTTCTCACCCAGATCTTGGCTCAGAGCATCAGCTTTTCCTGCGGCCTGGTGGCCGTGAGCGGATGGCCTCCCTAATAGCAGCAACCAAGCAAGACCGATTGCATCCCAACAAATGATGGAACATGGAAAAGATTGGACACTTCTTATCACTTCTTCCAGCAGATGCGCAAAAGGTCACAAGGGGCATTGTTCAGTTGTGTTGGCCTCGGGCGACGATGCCAGGCTCAAACTTCATCACACAGGGACTCACACAGGGACTCAGGCACTCAACCTGATAGAACCTAACCGATCTAGCCCTTTGCCCAGTGCATCCCGCTCATCCCGCTCGCTTTTCTCCCTCGGTCATGGACCGCACCAACTTTTGGGAGCTACATCGACGGCTGGGGGAATGCTATGACACTCAGAAGCGATTACTCGGAGCCGGAGCAAGGACGCTACGAACGGGGCTCCTGGCCTTTCTGCTAGGAACAAGGTTCGCTACTAGTAACAAGGGTTCGGGAGGCGAAACTGTGAGGTTCGATGTTTCTTTCAGACCGTCTACGACGCTATAATGGTCGGTGGCGATCGCTACCAGGATGGAGGCCATTCGCAATGTGAGGTTCGATGTTTCATGAAAAAAGACCGTCTATCAATGTCTACGAGTACCTTCTTGCTACTAGTAATGGCCTCCAGCCCAGTAGCGATGGCCTCCAACCTACTAGATCTACTAGCTTCTAGCTACTAGTTTCCTTCAAAGACCATCTTTAAATCTATCATACTCACACCCAAATGTCAAACAACTGAGTCAAAATGACCGTTGTCCTGTGCTTTTCCGCACCCTCCAAGCCGTGCGGTGTCCTTTCCGCCGGAGACGCGGGTGACCTCAGGAGATGGACCTCAGGACCGACGCGGGCGCGAAAACGAAACGGAGACCGAAGGAGGGGAGGATGGTTGTCCAAACACAGGAAAAGGTCCAAAGAATCATAAAGATTTCTTTTTTTAGAGGACATTAGGAACACAACCACTGTTTCGAATGCCATTTCTGATTTCGAGAAGCCATGAGGACCCCAACCTCTTCCACCTGCCAGGAGAGCCAAGCAAAAGAAGGGTGACCATTTACTGGCTTCGCATCGCGAGTCGCCACGGATGGAGGGGACACTTGGCCTGAAGAGGGGCATTCTGACTGGATCTGGGGTGGAGGACACCAGGCCTGATGCGTGTACACTCCAGGTGGCGCTGTATATATCTTGGGTACGCCCCCCAACTATGTTATATACCAGATCTCAGTCTTACCACACGATTTACCACTTGTTTGCTTTGGTTTTTAAGTTCATTCTGGGGCGTGTTTATCTGGGGTTTGCCAACTCTAAATTGTGTTTGGATGTCTTTCGATACAGAGTTCTGAGGGGGTGCACCGTCCAAAGGATGTGTTTACCCAGTGAAATGGCACAAGTTCACCCAGCTGGAGGAAATCTCCGGTATCCGATGGTATCCATTAGGTTCCCTCAAATGGTGAAACAGAATCAAACACCGTCAGACCGTCAGAGGTTGATGTCTTCATCCTTACACCGGCACCAGTCTTCCGGCGTTACAGATGGTCCACTGGGTCAACTGGGCTGCAGAAATCCCAGCTCCTCAGAGTATCTGCCAGGTATTTGTTTGCTTTTTCTCAGGGACTCCTTGCGGCTAGGAGCAAGGGCATCGCTACTAGTAACAAAGGGCATTACTACTAGTAACTAGTAGCATTCTTACTACTAGTAACAAGAAGCTACTAGGTGGAGGCCATCGCAAGTAGGTTGGCGGTTGGAGGCCATCGATCCGAAAGTAACTAAGAAGCTACTACGTTCGGCCTCGCCGCTCCGTTCTCGGCGGAGCCGAACGGAGCTCGGTTCGGTTTCACCAGGAACGGCTCCCTCGGCTCGGGGCTTTTGACTCCTGGCGTCTCGAAGCACAAAAGCCGCTCCATTGGTGCCTTGATCAGAAGCGCGCCTACGACGGAGGCTTCGCTTGGACATTCACAAGCGCGGGTTGATGACGCTCCATGATTCAGTATATAGTATAGGCGGTTGAATACCTTTATTTTGGTGTGTCTGCATGTTACACCTTTCTTGGGCGGACGAAGTTCGACCCGACAGTGACCCGTGGGACCGTTGGAGAGTTTGGAGCCTGCCACCATCGTTTTGGGCCAAGACGGAACTCCCAAGGTTCCGACTCTGGCAGTCCCATGATGAACCCCTTTGCTGGAGTGGTGCCTAAGAACGTGCCAGCACCTGAGGGAGTTCCAGCCCCTTGGATTCTTCAGCGTGTGTGAGAAGAGGATGAGATGAACTGATGTGTTCCACACATTTTCATACATTTTCACTTCAAAAGAGGTGACCTACCTTTCATTAGTTTTATTGTGAATTGTGAACATGTAACCTTCAAGACAGCAATTTGCTCGGTTCCATCAAATTTAAACGTGAGTAGTAGACGAGAAAGAATGGACTTAGTCAGTCGTCTACCCTAGACTTCTTGCATGACCATGCTGTTGGAGTGGACATGCCGTGTTAAAACATATTATTGTGTTTGCATTTTCACAGTTATTTGCACGAAATCATAGTTGGACTCCCTCGTTACTTGCAATCGCCAGCTCATTGGGGGTGCGCATCAGGGGCTGAACAAGGTTGCAAACTGTTGTGTGAGCAGTGAGTTTGGTCAGGACCATAGGAGAAATGACAATTCGGCACGTGGGGTCAAAAAGACGCTTACACGCGGCGTTTGATCAAAGCCAGGTGACAAACATGTTGGTGGTGCTGTTTTGTTGAGAATTCAGATGTGACCAGAGTGCGTTGTGGTTCATCAAAATCCCTTTTCCCTGGGAAGTCTCGATGTGTTTGGTTCATCTCCCGTTGAGGTGGCCAACATACTGCTGGGTCCCAAGTGCCAAGCCTTACAGAACTCATCAGAACTCCTTGAGCGCTCAAAATCCCTGTAATAAAATAGCTCCTTGAGTCGTGTAGCTCCAAGGCTCAAAATAACTTGTCCCTTAGGACAAATGATGACAAATGAACAAAAGCTTCAAAGTCCCTACAGACGATCCCAAGGGGGAATGATTCTTGGGAGAACAGAGTGGGGACTCTGCAGTTCCTACGTAGACCCATCGGACCGAGTCCGAGCATGCTGAGGCTCACTTGCAAACTCAAGACTCTGATGTGGCTCGTCGGCATGGTGGGCTGAACGTTGTGGATCTCTCCTCATGTCGTCAGACCGTCAGGCCAAAAAACGTGAATCCGGTCGAGCAGCCACTCCGGCGGTGGTGGCGCCGATGTCGTAGGAAACCCTGTGAAGATTGATCATGGTCGTGGAAGCCCCTGGACCTTATCATCCACAACCATTCGACTGATGAAAGGCTTTACACAAAATTCGCAGGTCTAGTCGCAGGATGCCGCAGGTTTGTATCCTAGGGCGATATTTGAGAGCTCGAGAAGGATCAATTCCGATGGCTTCTGACTCTCCGAAACTCACGTCCGCCAAGCCTGAGAGAAAGAAAAGATGACACACACGGAAGATGATGAGAGAGGCCAACACCTCAAGCTTTTGTTATGGCTCTTTTTGTCGCTCTCTTCCTTTGGCTAGCGGCTAGGTGCAGTAGATTTTTGGAGGGTACTCATCCAGTTTGACCATTTACACGGGTGAGGATCATAGCTTCGACTTGGTCTCCAAATAGATGGCACCTTGACATCGTCAAGCGAGAGAGTTCATTTGAGTTCCCCCTTGTGAGACACGATTTCCTTCTCGGTGAACGACAAGTCCCATGGCATCCCCCATGAGACATTCCTGTTGATCAGTCCCATGGCCCCCGCGTGGTCAGTCCCTGTCAATCACGGGCTCCGTTGAGGTGAGCCTGGGAGGAGACTCCATCAGCCCCACCTCCATGCAAATCCTGCCCTTGCAGCGCCTGGGTGGGGTCGAACGCGTGAGGGCTTCGGGTGGAACGGGCGCCGGCGCTGCTCCAGCGACGCCGGGCGCGAGGGCCTGTTCTGTGGACTCTTGGGGGAATACACTGCTGGAAGGTCGAGAGGTTGATGAGCTCCTGCCGGCCAGCGAATTCCATTGCGGTGGCGAAACTGTCTAATTAGTGCCAGTGTCGGTTCACTTCGCCCTGTGTCCCTTCCGTTTCTCGTCTCCGCTTCGTTCGAGTTCGCAGAGCGGACCGCCCGGACCGTCCTGAGGTGTTGGCGCGAAAAGTCTCAAAGCGCTACGAGAAGTGGGCGGCGGCGGAGCGCCACTGAGGGCGAGGCTCGAAGCTGTGGCACCGCCGATGAGGAAGACACAATAGCCCATAACTTCAAGCGTTTAGGATGTTGATGGCATTTGCATCTGCCAAGTTCTCTTTTTTTGAGCTCGTGGTGCTTCGTGTTGAGTTTGAACTGGATATGTGCAAGCTTGGGGCCACCCTGTCCGGCCTTGAACAAGGACAACGACTGCTTGATATGATTCAAGGGTTTTTTTCTCCCATTGCAACCCATTTCAAACGTTTTCTTTGGAGAATGGTCGTTGGGTACTTGGGACTCCTGTCACGTCCTCCTGCTCCAAAAAGCTCGCGGAATCCCTTGGGATCCTGCGCAGGTGAAACTCATGATGCGCACAGAGACCTTCGGCGACTTCTGGAACTTCACCTTAAACCCCACGGGCCACTTCAGGAACTTTAGATTCTGTCGCAGATGTGGAAGAGTGTCGCAGATGTGTCAATGTGTTTTTTAGTTTTTTTTTGATATGAACAGATGGCCCGGTGAACAGTTCGGGCCAAATCTTCGGGCCATGTTCTCCCATGGACCTCTCCTGGAACCGGGTGAGAGATCTCAGCGATGTAGAAGGAACATTGTTTGCATCATGTTTGGTCAGAAATCCGGATGGTCACAGTCAGTTTGACACAGCTCGGGCAGAAGGGTTTGGGCACTTTGGCCTCTACAAAGTCGGTGGTCGCTGGTGCTGTGCAATTACGTGGTTTTCTCCCTCGGCTTAAAGAGGTAAAGGAACAAACAACACGAAGCAGTCTCAGTCATGGGTTGAGTGCCTTTTTTTGTGTCTGGCACCTCGCCGCATGGGAACTGAAATGCCTGATCATGCCTGATCCATAGTCTCCGTAACGGATTCTCACAGGGGCCAGAAATCCGATGTCGTGCAGTCTTGCATAGCCGCCATAGCCACTTTTGACTAGTGACTAGTCCAGAACCATCTTGATGAAATTGGTGGGTGTGTATATAACTCTTCTTCATTCATTCAAGGCTCGAGTCTAGAGTCTAGGACCATCTCCATATATCTCCATTCCTTCCAGGAACTTCTGGGACTTTTTGGCCATCCTCTGCTTAGTCTTCGACGCGATTGCTTTGCCTGTGCATTTTGTGAACCATCAATTCTATGCGAAGTATCCCTACTTATCCATCATCTCGAGGCTTCAGGCCGACCCTGCATGGTTGCCGAGCCTGTCTGTGTTGGTGTGCGAGTGTCGGAGGTGTTTGGTTTCTCCAGTTCAATCAACCATTGGCTCCTGCTTCGGAGGTTCTTTTTTAAAGCCACACCGAGTACCTACTCCAGTACCTACTCCATTTCGCTGCAGTTGAAAACCGGATGGAGAAGGAGCCCCAAGATGCGAAATCCTGCCCAGATCTGCCTATAGAATAGTATATAGTATAATTATAGTATTATATAATATACATACATCATAGCCATACTTTGAAAGCAAAAGCGGTCTGAAGGGTCGAACTCGATTCGACACACTCTCGGTCACCACAAGAACTGGATGGATTTGCCCCCAGATTTGCTCAAACTGGTGTTGGATCGAATGGACTAGCTCCCTCGAGTGTGGTTGTATAGACCAGCGCTTGTGATGTGGCAAAGACTTGCATTGCTGGCGCAACTTGGTTCATGCATGTTCATGCCCTGGGTGGTTATGTGTTGGAAATCATTCGGAATATCGTATGTAGATGTCCACCTGCTTCACAACTATGTCCTTTCATCATTCCTTCTAAGAACAGCATGTTCCAGAAGTCGGTCAAGTGTGGCTGCGTCCACAGGTCTTCTATTGGGCCTTCGATTTGATCCTCTCCTTCTTCACAGGACACAGTCACTGTGTGGCTTAAGAAGAGCTATCTGGGTATCTCAATCGGTTCGCAAATTCCGTGGAAGTGGTATTGCTTTCCTTCCGTCTCCCCATCCTCGCCTTGTATTTTGTGCATTTCTGCCGGTGGTTGTCGATTTCTTCTGTTTTGTGGATGGGTTTTGCTGTGTGGATTGCTGCGGCGTACGCTCTAGACTCTAGCTAAAGAATTGTGGCTGTCAGCTGCTTCAACGTCCAGCTTCCTAAACTACTTCCCTCCCTTGCAACCTGAGCTTTCGAGTAACTCTGCGTCAGCCTTGAGGCTGAATGGCAGGCTCAACAGTCAGTATGTCGCTCACCACCAAGCTGCCTCAAGGGTCCCAACTCCGGTGCTTTGTTACCTTAACAGCAGCAGGTGCGGCTGCTGTGAATCAAAAGCGTGATGGGTAGGCACCCCAAGCAGAAGTCTTCGGCTTTGCTGAGACAGCTTTCTCAACTTGGTCGTTTCTGATTATTTGTGATTAGTTTTGTGGGCATTCAGGGATGGAGGCTCTACCCGTAAAAGGGCTAAAGGGCTGCATCACGTATCTTCATGGTCCGCTGCAGCGTCCATAAACCAGGCCCCATTGATTTGCACTCCCCTCGCGCCGATGTGGTTCGGAACATTTGAACAAAGCAAACTCCGAAATTCCGATGTTACAACTTTGAGGGGTACTTGACTCAATGGATCAACATGGATCCACCACCTGAGCGTGAAAGAAAGACCTGAGGAGCGCAGAAGACGAGGGGCAACTGCTCTTGCTTTGCTTCGCGATCACCACACTGAATCAAACGTGTTTTTCTTACCTTTTCTATTTTCATTATTTTTGTATTGTCTGTTTGTCTGTCTGTCCTGTCCTGTCCTGTCATGTCCTGTCCTGTCCTGTCCTGTCTGTCTGTCTGTCCGTCCGTCTGTCTGTCTGTCTGTGTCTCTCTCTCTCTCTCTCTACTCTCTCTCTCTCTCTCCCCTAGCAATGATTGCTTAGCTATCAAACCTGCAGGAACCGCTCCCTTTCGTTGTGTTTTCCTTTCCAGACATCCTGCAGGATACCTGGACAAGGGCAATCTGGTTCAGAACCATCGCAAAATCGCTCTACACTATCTGAGCCATGGCCAAGAGATGGGTCATACGTAATAAGGCATGAGACCAAACATACGTATTGAATGCCTTTTGAGGAACAGAACATCCTAATAATGCAATAAATCGCTTTTAACTTTTATCCGCTTTTACCATGACGCCTCATGTAAAGCAGTGTTATTAGTGTTATGAGTTATGATCTCTGTTTTCACTGGAACTCCCGCGGAATTCGTTTGCTTTTCAAGGTTGGGATGGCGCATCAGATTCTTCTCCAGTGGTTCATTTTTGACAGGAGGATGTTCAGTTCCAAGTGTTTTTTGAGATGGTGAAACCATTACTGTAAACAGACCGAAGACCTTTGATAAAGTCTCTAACATCATTTTCCCGTCCTTTGCTTTTGACAGAATCATGTGTGCCTGGGTATCTTGGCTACGGGTTGTGGAGACACCTCAGCTTCGGTTCGGAGATGTTCTTTGTGTTGCGAAGATGTGAGTGCCACTGTTACAGTTGGGTGACGACGTGGGGTGTTTGGGCGCTAATAGGGGACAGTGTGGAGAGCGTTTTTTTTCATAGCGGCCATTCTGCCAAGTGGTTCCCCGTTTATCAATCTAACCCCTCTACCAGAATGGTCTTGCATCTCCATTGTCTCTCGCAAGTGTTCCCCGTCTCGCTGCCTGTGCCTTCACCATCTCCCGATGTTTTCCTCGGCTCCTCGGGGGTCGGACACCGAGGAAGACCTGGTTTCTGCCGGACTTCACGGTCACACTTCTGGACATTATCTTGGAATTCTCCGACGGATCACAGACGGATCGCATCAGTGACCCGAATGAATCCAGGGGGGTTTGGTTTTTAAGTTTGAGGCATCCGTTTTTGGTGGTTTTTACCGGTGGGTCCGTGAAATCCTGGACCATATTATGTGATTGAGAGGTCCCGGGAGAAGGTTAACACTCATTGACTCGTCATTTGGGTGAGTGGGTGGGGGAGCGAGCTGGGCTGGCAATCACGTGAGCCCAAGCAAGTTCCTTGTGCGCTTGTAGATATTCTTCCGAAACAGTAGACACCAAGCGCAAGGGATCCTATTCAGCCTGAGCAACGGCTTCCTCTAGTTTTCGACCCAAACGTGGCCGCAACGAAGGCCGCGTTCGGGAAGTGGCCGCACACGCTCGCAGGTACCCGGGTGCTACGACTGCTGCGACTCTTCCGTGTGGTGCGGCTGGGGAAGGTGACCCGGTTCGCCTCCTTCTTGAGAGACAAGTTTGAATCGGAGGTGGCCTACACTCAATTCAGTGCCCTGGAGAGCCTGGCTCAGTCTTACTACTGTAATTCTTTTTGAGGGAGGTAAGGGCTTGATGTGTGATGAATTGGATGAATGAGACTTGATGATTACCTGCAAAACCCATGTGGGCATTTTATGAGCCCAAAGGACACCTCCTATGATAAACATGTCAATGATGTACTTCTAGTTGTATAAATAAAAGAAAATATATATATAGAGACGAGATACACATTATGGTTGACTGACACTTTGTGCAGGTACAAGTCACTGCTTGCCTGAGGCTTGTTGCTCCTGGTCATCGGGATGATGCTACAAGAGCATGTGATTGCTTGCGGATGGTTTGGCATTGCATCACTGGGCACTCACCCCACAAGTTGGCTTTCGGAGCATGGACATGCCAGCTCCTCCTTCACCTTGCAGTACACTGACAGCTTGCGCTGGTCCTTCTCGCAGCTGGGTATTGGGGGGACGGAGATTGAAGCAGTGAATGAGACCGAGGGCATCTATAGCGTGGTGGTCTCCCTGATCTCGTTGATGACCTTCTCGTCCATTATCAGTTCGATGACTTCACTGGTGAGTACCCTGCAGAGTAGGAGGATGGATCAGACACAGCAGTTTGGCCTCTTGCGACGCTTCCTGAGGACCAACCACATTGAAGAAAACCTGAGCCAGCGGATCACTCGGTTTCTCCACTACACTTACCATCAGAGGACAGCCAATGTGGAAGATCCCTACATCTTGGATTATCTCTCGAAATCCCTCCAGGCCAGGCTGGATCTTTGACATGTGGGCGAGATCCCTCAACCTGCACTCCTCCATGACCCATCACTGGGTTTTCAGGTGTGCTTCCCTTCGCTTTTGCAACGAAAACGGTGACCTTTGGCAGGATGGAAGCCACCTTGCAAAACTGATCAGCGAACGACATCCACCCCTCAAGTGAAAACGCAACCTAGAACCTGCAAACATGATGCACGTTCGACTAAAAGGCTTGGGAAGTTCTTGTGGTCAGAGTGGTACGCGCCGACACTACCGCAACATGATAGACACTAAAGCAACCATTAACCCGAGATTTTGCAATTTTTGCACAACTCCTGAGACCTCCTTCAACCCTTTTCCCATCTTTCTTCCAGCCTTTGCGGGGGAAATCCTGGCAAGGCGGACTTGCAGTTGGCGCGCTACAAGGCGGTCCTCACGCAGATGGACTTCTTGTCAGACTTGTTATCAAGCCCCCTGCTCTCATTGCAGGACCTTAGGGTGGAGGCCATCGCTTCTAGGTTGGAGGCCAGCGCTCTTCGGTTGGAGGCCATCGCTATTAGTTTACAATATCATTCGAGGGCCCCTGCTCTCATTGCAGGATTGACTCACTTGAGGGTAAAGTTCGAGGAATCATTTGAAGGGAGCTCGGGATGTGAAGAGAAGACACCCGTGTTGCAGAAGTCTAGGATTCTGGGCAATGGGATGTGTGGGCACTGAGCACAATGCAAGTTTTGTAACGTTTGGTATGTATTTGGGTATCATTTACTTTCTTACTACTAGGAACAAGCAGCTACTAGGGGCTCTTGGCCTTACTACTAGGAGCAAGGACGCTACTAGGGGCTCCTGGCATCGCTACTAGGAGCATTCTTACTACTAGTAACAAGAAGCTCTTCGGCATTACCCTCACGTTCCAGGAGGGCAATGTGGTGCGGAGCATTGCGCGCGAAGCAGTCTCAGTTCATGAAGTGGTGGCCCGGCTGCTGTGGACCAACAAGGGAACACCATATGGTAGTTCACTTTGACTTTGTCGTGTGGGCCCGTGGGCCGAGGTTCTTTGATTGAATCCTGAGACATAGCATGACATAGCTACGTATGCTTTTGAAGCCTGAACTAGGAAGTGCTTGTGTGTTGTAATTGTGTTGCTTGAGAGATGCGATGCGCATTTATGTTCCAAACTCCAGACTTGCACGCTCTCGCAAACCACCGGGATGCTTCCAACCGGGTTTGGAAGGCCCGGTGCGCCTCTGATCTTCCAAGATGTTTCAAGCATGTTCAAGCAATATGTACATCCGGACGATCCCTCAGATTCGCTTTGGATGGTCGGTCGCACTGGAGAGGTGAAACGCCTCCATGAAGCATTGAGGACCAAAAGCCAAATGCTCACGCACATGGGTTGGGTAGTTTAGGCTTGGGCCATGGCTCCACGCAGAGAACTCTGAGGTATGCACGAGGAAATCTATCAGTAAAACCACCTGAGATGTGTTCGTGTCAAAAGCTCTGCCACCAGTGATTGGAATATTCAATGCAAATGGAACATGTTACAATTTGCTGAGTTACGATCTGGGGCCATGGACAATACAGCCACGTCACACTGCGAACATGACTTACAGTCAAAATGCATCCTTCTTTTCCAGGTTGTTTCGAGACCAAACGTGGAAGACCGTTGCGGACGGCCAACGTCGATGTGTCTGATTCACGAAGTCAGAGATTCAATGATTGGGATCCAAGATGGTTTCCCCCCTACGCCTACGCGAAAACAAGCTGCCCGCTGCCCTGCCCTGGCAACATGACACCACGTCAGCGCTCAGCTGAGGCAGAAGATGACGTGGTCTTCTGTCATGGCAACAAAGCGATCAGTGCTTACTATATCATTCGAGGCGTGGTCCGTCGGGAGCGCCCAGCCGTCAGCGCCCCTTTTCAGCGGACCGCCCTTTTCACCGGCGGAGAACACTTGAAATGGGCAAGTGGCAGTCGGTGGGTGGTCACAGCGTGGTCAAGGCGTGCTCCGTTTTGGACGAGCCCATCTTTAAGGGCCGTTCTTTTCTTCCAGGCATCAACGAATTGGCCTCCAAGAGCTAACTTCATCGATGTCGATGTCTGTGCTTCTGCAGTCCTCCAACTGCTTGGAGCGTTCTTGGGGCGCCATACCACGCGCCGTTTCATCCCATGGCGAAACGACCCCAAAGGCGGCCGTACCAGGCTCCATGCTCTACCTGCAGATGGGCTGCACCGCGCGCAGCCCCCCAGCGGCGTGGATCGCTGAGATGAGCCTTTGGACCGAGTGGACTCACCTTGGGGACCGTCCTGGCGACCGAGGGGCGCGTCGTTGCGGGGTTCGGGACCTGCGGTTGGAGAGGAAGGATGGACTGTAAGATAGAGCGCCCTGAGCGAAAGAATAGCATTGCTATGCATTTATAGCATATTTATAGAGTAATTCAAAGGGTCTTGCTTGCTCTTCAGGTTTCTTACAAGGGAATGGTCGCAGAGTTTTTCGGTCGCAAGTCCCGGACAAGAACCGCCACCAAACTTTTTTTGTGAATTTGGTGGTTCCCATTTTGCTGAGGGGCTTTTTTTGTCCGGCACCTGCAGAAGAGGACATTCTTGTGAGTTGCCTCACGGGTATTTCTCTCCATGTTCACTGTTCAGACAGAGACAGAGACTTACGATCATTATCTGCAATGAAACACACTGACCGACCTGACCTTCCTGGACAGACTCCAGATTTCCTCGCAGGACCTGCTGTGCAACAGTTTCGGTCGAATTCTGGCGATCCATGTTCAGGACCGGTCAGCTTTCACTGTAATCGGTTTCCCAGCTTTTCGCAGTTGAACTGCATCTTCACCTTTCACTGATTAGAACAGCTCACAGGGGGGTTCAAGAGACTCTTTGGATCTGTGACGCCTTGAGGTCTCATTCTTGGTGGAGGAACGCAATGTATCCAGTGCATCCAAACATGGTGACTACCCATCGAGAGAGTTTGGCTTCCTTCTCGCATTCTGCAGATTTCTGCAGCCGGAGCCCCCCATGTTATCCAATGGTGTTGGATATTGATGAACACGCTGGTCATGTAGCTCCCAGCCGATCCGGATATGGACGGCCAGGAGTTCTGTGAGATTGTCTGCAAAGCCAACGCAGTACAGATCAAAGCTCATCAGTATGCCCTTGGCTATGTGGAGAGGTTGCAACTCGGCTCGCGCTGGATCCGGTCGGGTTTGGATGAGGTTGGATGGATCCGGTTTCATGGGTCTAACTTTGGTGCGGCCTTGATCGCTCGTGGTGGTGGCTCGTGATTTGGCTTTTTAGGCCTTGGACCTCGGGCCAAACGGCAGTCAGATGATCGACTCTGGGAACTCTACTCGATTCGAGTGACGACTCACACGTGGTGGATTCGCATGATCACATGTCAGGAGCAGCATGGTTCACAGCACGGATCTGCCGCTGGATGACACTCCTCAGAAGCGAAGCTCCAAACTGGGTCGTGGAGACTCGGCCCAGTTGAGGCATCCGAAAGTGCGACCGGCAGAGATGGGCCAGCAGAGATGGCCGGTCAAACCGATCTTGGTCAAATGGAGATGTCGTTTCCAGTGGTTCCAAAAACCCATGGAGGGCTATTCTTTTTTGGAATTTTTGTTGAGTTTGTTTTTTAAATTGAATTTGCTTTTTGTTGCTTTTCTTGCCTTTCCTTGCTTCTCTATGGCCTCTCCTGCTTTTCTTTGCTTGTCCTTGCTTCTCATTGCTTTTCTGTGGTTGCTCCCGCTCTTTTTCTTGTTTTTTTTGCTTTCCCGTGTCTTGCTTTTCATTGCTTCTTTGTGAATGCATATTGTTTTGAAATAATGTTTTAACGTTACGTTTCCTGTTCCGTTTGCACTTGGCTTGTTCTTACTGGCTTTTCTCCTTTACTTTCCTTCTTCTTGTCGTTTGTGGCGTATTGATTCCCTACCGTAATTTTGCTTTCCATGATCTTTGTTGCTTTCACTTTGGTAAGTTGGCTTTCCATCCTTGAGTTAGTGCTGCTTTATGCTTGCTTTTCTGTCTTTGTAGGCTTTTCCCACTCTTTCTACTGGTGGTTGTGTTTTAGTTCACCTTAAGGAACAACCCAAGTGCATCATATCAATGAATAACACTCGTTCATTGTGCGCACAGCTATATAGCTTTTCCTAGAAGGTCCAATGGGTTCTGACACCCCTTGAACCATTTGGGAATCTGGTCTCCGAGGCAATCCAAGGCTAATCTCTTCATGGAGGGATTTGGTCCCTGTTGGGTGGAGTGGGACCAAATCAATTCGGGGGATTGCGAGAAAAAGAGGCAATGGAGCCCCTTTGTGAGGAAAGGAATCACGAGACGCGGACAAGTCGAAAATAACGAATATGCTAAGTGGAGCAGTGAGCACAGCCTTTTTGTCCCAATCAACATGGGCAACTGCCATGAGCCAAACAAATTCAGCGAGTTAATTGGGCTTTGGGAACAGACGGACATGTACTTTGGCAATAGGACCTTGTTGAGATATAAACATTGAAGGGGGTGAACAAAAGGAGCAGTAATAAAGACGACAGATGAGCCATGAGAGTGTTTTTGCAGAACAAAAGAGCACTAGACATTTTGCCATTAGTTTTTTGGCAGGCGGTTAGCATTTCAGAAGAAGTTGGGCCAAATGAATGGCGGGGTTACTCAATCCTGGGTCAACATTGTACATAATTGGGGGCCTGGATACTCAGAGAATGTTTCGCCCGACGCAGCGCATTCTTGAGGAGTCTTGCAGGCTGCGCACACCTTCAACATGTTCGACTGCTTCTTCAGGAAACCGGCCTTAAAATCAAGTCTATGTGAGGTGTTTTTGAAGTACGTTCTCCAAAGACCGAACAGTGAATCCATTAAAACATAATATGGTAAATGTATTTGTTTACAAAATATATACACAATTGTATATGACATGAGTATATGATATGATATGATATATATAATGAATAATAGATAATATAATATATATATATATGTATAGTATATACTATATACGCATGTACAAGATATCGCTTCGATGTATTTGGGACCACTATTGGCCCCACATTACACTAGGGACCGCCATCTTGTCTCAACCCATAAGCATGCTCACCCCAGTGCATGTCCCTTTTAAAGAACGACTTTCTGGGTGTTAGTTTAGTCCTCAGCCTCATAAAATCTTTACAAGGGGATCACCAAGAAAAAGGCCACGGACGTTTTGCAGTTGCCGTTGGAATTCCGTTTTGGTGAAACATGGTGAAAGGAGACCAATGTCGCAACCCGCTGACCCGTCAGGAAGAAACACAGGGCCGTGGCTGCCTCTGACGAGCTGAATTGACGTTCATCTAATCGGGCAGGAATGAATGAAGGACAGTTCAGTGATTTTTCTCTGTTTTGTGTTGTGGTGCCTTTTTCCTGGAAATGCTTTTCTTGGGTTGATTAGCAGTTCTTGGGTTCTTCAAGGAAAACCTTCATACAGTTTCTTGTGACCGATCCTTCATCGATCCTTTCATATCCTGTCCCTGAGCTGTAGAGTTAACGCACGGGCCGTGCCCCAAAGTCGTGGCTCCCAATAAATGATGACAGTACACTTCAGTCAACAACGGCAACACCCGGATTTTGGTGTTGGGAATCTTTTGGCAATCTTCCGGGAATATTTTATTGGGAACCCGTATTACCCTTTTCCGCCTTGAGCTATTTTGGGTTCATTACGGCGCAGCAAAAAATGCCGTTGAACGGCATGCACAGTCAAGTCGGAAGCTCACAGTTTGTATTTTTTGGAAGGTCTTAGAATCAAGTTTGTTCCGGAGGTTTGCAGGGATATTGTCTCAGGTCTCAGGTCACTGGGGACGGGGCCGCACGCAAACTGTGGCTCCAGTTCTCTTGGGTTCAGACAAATGCAGCATGTGGGCAGTTCCAGGCTGCATGCAGACAGAAACAATGTTGACTTGATCGACTTGATCAACAACAAATTTGCACTGCAGCAGAACATGTGTAGCTTTGATTCCCACATTGGTGGAACGTCATGGACGTTTTCTACCCTTGTGGGAACTGGCATCGCCGCATGTGTTTTAACACGCAAGGACTTTTTCATTGAGTGACAAGTGGGATGCCAATGGGGACCTGAAAAAAGGGAAGATGGACCAAGAAGAAGAACTTGGTAGAGTCCATCCAACTATGGTAGAATCACCAAGTTACCTTCCTTCAATCAGCGGCAGGAACCGCTATTTTTCGTGAATCATCCCACCGAGCTCTTGCTCCTGGGGTGTTCGAAGATCACCGCCAGGCAAATCGATGGACCAATGGAAGGGACCGATCAAAAATGATAAGAACGGGGGAAGTGATGAGCACAGATGAGCACAGGTGAGTGGTGAGTGAGTGTGTTTGTTGCGGGAGCTTTCGACCCTGCGGTTGTTTGACCTGCCAGGGATCGGCGGGGCAAGCTTTGTGAGCGAAAGGGTGTGGATGAAATCCTCCAGAAGCAGAACCGAGGTGAAAGCGAAGTTCCTGGTGGACTTGGGTCGCAGAAGGATCAGAAGGCCTGCTGAGCGCTTGCTGAACGGAGTCTTACATAACCCAAGTGCGGAAAGTTGGGTTTTGGGATGCGAATGTAAATCACAGCAGTCATGACAAAGGGCCGACTGACCAAACCATGTTTCTTCTTCCCGTGGCTTGTTTGGGAGTGCATTTCACAGGCCGGCAGTGCAGAACTTTCACGCGTGCCCCGAGCGCGCCGCAGCCCCTGAGGTTGGATCGGTGTTGCTTTGGGGCTTTGTGTGCGTATGTGTATGCGCACCTAAGGGGCAGACCAGTGGCATCCTGCACGTAGTATTGGAGGGCCCAAATTCGGTCGTGCATGTCTTGGCATGTTGGCACTTGAACCACAGAGTTTGGTGACTAGATTCTTCTGGTATTTTCATGCATTTTCGTTCCTTTTTTGGTAAGTAGACCAACCCGCTTGCATGGAGACGTGCTCTCTTCGAGAGCCGCCTCCGCGATCGCTACCTTTCGTGGATCTCGGCTCAAGGGCCACCCGCTGACATGAAGACTTGGGACGGAAGATCTGGAGACAAGGGACTACTCTGACCGGCTTGCTCCAAAACTACTCCAATGCCAAGAGAGGTTCAGTGACCTTATAAGACCCTAGACCCTACTAGGGTACCTATGGGCTGGTATCCTATGATCCTGGAAAGGCCTGGAATACCTTTTAGTCTGCCCCCTTCGGCCCAGTCGGCCAGATGGAAATGAAGCACGCGCAGTCTGCTGGTGTTCTTCCCTCCAGAAAACTTCAGGCACGAAATGTGTGTGTTTGACATGGGACACCCCTTATAGGGTTTGCAGTATCTTTTCCCAGGCATGTTTTAAACTGCTGTAAACCCACGGAGCCGGGACCCGAGTTGCTTTCCCGCGGTAAACCCCGCCGGGCTGCTTTGGTTGCCCATGTCGCGGAGCTTCTGGGAGCTCCACCGGAGGTTGGGCGAATGCTATGAGGCAGACATGAGGCGTGGGCTGAGGTGACAAGATATATTTGCAGTACATACTTAAATTAAATATATATATAATCATATATATAATACACTTTTTGAGATCGTGATTTTGAAACAACTGTTTGTTCTTCAATGTCCTCTTCTTGTTGTCAGTTTTTGCTATTGGAACATGATTGGTTACAGTATTGGCTGTTGTTTGTATTTTTGTTGTAAAGTTCATTTGTTTGGTCTTTGGAGTATTTTAGACCTTTCTTTCGCTCTTTGTTAGAGGACGTGAGCATGGGTCCGGTTGGACCTGTCCTTTGGAGCGATTGAGAGGGCCTGAAACCAAGCAGTGGTGTTCATATTTTTCTCAAGGGAGGAGCCTTTGGCCAGCCCGCCGTAATTAACAATATCATATACTATCCATTCCCCTGCACAAAGCACAACAGTTTGGGCTTGAGCGTAACTCATCCTTGTACGGGGAACCCTGGAATGGTCCTTGAATAGTTCTTCGCATGTCTTTACAAGCTATATGACTCCACACCAAAAAGACGTGTCAGGTTCATTCATTTGACGAGCCCCCCCCGCCGGGCTTGATGGCAGTCCGGATCCTTCAGGACCGCCCGTGACCGCCCCAGGCGTGCACGGAGCAAGTCACGAACTCCGGCGGCGCCGAAGAGCCTCCACTACGAGTCGGCCGTGCCGCCGAAGTCTTCGCCCCAGTGGCTCGGGCGCAGACTGGGGGGCGAAGCCAGGACCAGCTTGGTGGGGGAACCGTTCTCAAGTCTGCATGAAGAAGCTACTAGTAACAAGGCCATTACTAGTAGTAGCAAGAAGCTACTAGTAACAAGGGTATGCTACTCATGAACTTGGGATGCAGAAATCGCAGTATCACTTTCCCATGCCCGCACGTTCAAAATCATGCGGGTCAAGACGCAACACACCCGAACTCTTTGGTATCAGTTTTTCTATGTTTTCCCTCTACCAACTGAACCTTGTTCCAGATGAAGACCGTGTTGCGCCCTTTCCACAGACTAAAAGACTTGGAACAAACATGAAGAGACCTCTAAAAGTTGTTGGAAAGATGAGGCATCGCTGGTTTGCGGGTGGCGGTTTCTTATTTTCTACGGCTGTTCAAACATGTTCAGCAAATATCACAACATCCTGGTCGTAGATTGATGAGGTAGACATGATTTGTTAAGGACGTCTTATGTCGTTTTTGCTGACAGCTGGGTTTAGAACAAAACAATACAAAACACATGTTGATACTACGACCGGTTGGATGTGTCGCAGTGCCGGAAACAGGTGGTAAGAATTAATTGACCACTATCACTACTCACTATTTATTTGGTATTAATCCCCAGACTTTGTTGGTAGTTGATCGTCCACCATGCAAAGATCGACGGAGGTGAAACCTACGGGAGTACCTCAGTTTTAGGCAATGGGGGAGGCAAAGCAAAACCCAGCTTGTCTCAAAACCAAGTGTGGCTCAAGCATCTGATAGCATCCGTAGCTCCAAAAGCACCGTTTTCCTTGTAGGGTGCCGTTGATCGAACTCAGGCAACTCCACACGCCACAGATGCTCTTGCGGCGCTCCTCGCCCAACGCCTCGACACCGTGTCGAACGCCTGAGTGCCAGCGCGGTCGAAGACGCGCTCGGAGACGCGCTCGAGCGAAACGCGGCGTCTGATCCTCCATGGTGAACGATATGACGGGATGGGGTGTCACGTGAAAGCATCTATCCTCATCATATCATCAGATTATCATCATATAACGAATTTATTCCTCTTCTTTTTCTTTGTTGCTAATGTAGGATCCCGATTAGTAAAGGGGATCCCGCCCTCCCCTAAACAAATGGGGGCCCTCTATAATCAACTACCACCAAAACAAATCTGGGTTCCTAGGAGGATTCCATTTTGTAATTGATTGTAGTATTCATTTTCCTCGCTTTTCAATTCATAGATTATAGTTACATATCAATTTTCCTTTCTCAGGTTCTTTGTAGATATTCTCAGCAATCCCTATATACTAAGAAGAGTACAAAGAAGGTTCTCAGGTTCTCTGCAGCTTTGAAGAACTAGAAACACCTATACTTATCAACACTCTCAGCAAGCCAGCCAGTGGCTTAGTAGTATTGTTTATCTATTTTTAACTGAGGAAAACACTTTGCACAACTGAGGACCCTTAAAGCAAATTTATTATTGAGGATCAGGGGCCTTCCTGGTCTACTACCTTGAACATTTGTTTAGGAGCAATCTTTACATTAAAAAACACTGATTAAGGAATTGGTGGCTTTGGGAAGCTGTCTGTTTTGAAGAAGCACAAGAGAAACCTGTTTTTTTCCCGCGAGCACAAATGGGCTCCCAACAGCCACGCGAAAGGAGGAAAAAAAACAATAGAGACATGGAATTACAAAGCTTCCAGAGCTGTGAAAGAAATAGGTGAAAAAGAGAAACCTATACTTACCAATACTCCCAGCAAGCCAGTCATTGGCTTAGTAGTATGTAGTAGTATTTACATGTCTCCGTCATTTTTCCCAAAAGCATCTCCGATGCTTGGGTTCTCGTTTAGTGATAGTGCGGGGGCAGAGCGAGACGAGGCAAGCATTTTCGTGGACGGAAGATGGGCATGGACGGGGCTGTGGATGGAAGATGGAGGGGCGCGATACGGGAGGGTGGACGGGCGCGAGACGGGAGGGGGGGACGGGCATGTGGATGGCAGATGCAGGGCCGCGATACGGGAGGGTGGCCGGGCGTGGACGGGGCTGTGGATGGAAGATGGCGGGGGCGTGGACGGGGCTGTGGATGGAAGATGGAGGGGCGATGTTACTTGACATCACCTGTCAAGAATTCATGTATCTCATCTGTCTCAGGCGGGCGTGGACGGGACTGTAGATGGAGGAGGGAGCGATACGGGAGGGTGGACGGGCGTGGACGGGGCATGGATGGAAGATGGAGGGGCGATACAGGCGCGGGCGTGGACGGGGCTGTGGATGGAGCGATACCGGTGGGTGTATGGAATAGAGGGGCGCGGTATGGAAGGGGCGTGGACAGGCCGTGGATGGAAGATGGAGGTGCGCGATACTGCAGGGTGGACGGGTGTGGATGGCTGTGGAAGATGGAAGGGTGCGATACGGGGGGCATGGACGGGGCTGTGGGTGGAAGATGCGTGCGACACGGAAGGGTGGACGGGATGGACGGGGCGGACGGGGTGCGACACGGCAGGGTGGGGCGCGGTGTGCCGGCCTGGACGACGGTGTCGTGGACGGTGTGGAAGGTGGAGGCAAAGAGAAAAAAACCGGTTGTTCACCTTCTTTTTGTTTCTGGGTCCGCGGGCTCACCTTGTTTCTAAGTCAGGACCCACCACCAACAGTTTAACAGCAATGGCCTCCAACCTACCGGCGATGGCCACCACCACACCAGCGACGGCCCCCACCCCACTAGCGGCTAGCGATGGCCTCCATGCACCGTACGATGGCCCCCACCCTACTAGCCATGGCCTCGGCCCCTACTAGCGATCACCCTCCATACTATGGCCTCCACCCTACTAATAACGAGGCCTCCACCCTACAGCCTACCAGCGATGGCCTCCACCCTACTAGCGATCGATGGCCTCCACCCTACTAGCGATGGCCTCCGCTACTAGCGATGGCCTCCACCCTAATAGCGATGGCCTCCACAATACTAGCGATGGCTCCCTACTAGCGATGGCCTCCGCTACTAGCGATATCTCCACCCTACTAGCGATGGCCTCCGCTACTCGCGATGGCCTCCGCTACTAGCGATGGCCTCCACCCTACTAGCGATGG